TTAATATATGAATAACGGTTTTTCAGATCTCTTCGACATCGTCTCACAAGATAAGCGAATTTGTTCCTGTGTTCTTAATGAAAAGCAAACGACAAATAGTTTATGGAATTATGGTTATAAAAGAAAATAATATATATTTATTGAGGTCAATGAGAATGAACTAAAGAGATCATTATATATATATATATATATATATATATATATATATATATATATATATATATATATATATATATATATATATATATATATATATATATATATATATATATATATATATATATATATATATATAGACTTTTTAATGACACTCTATTTTTCAGCTTATTAAATAACAAGGGAATTATTCCTGAATATTGCTGAACAAGTTCTCACATGAATATAAATATGATAATTAAGATATAATGCTGTACGCAATACAGGTTGTCAAATAGTTAGCAAAATGTACATTAATAAGTATTGCTCAAAGTATTTCGACAACGGAGCAGAAACTTTATACATTTTTTGTCAGGAGAAAATGAAAGGATTCGTTAATAAATGCAGTCAAGAAATTAATTGATCTCTTGATGATTATTTTCATTACTACTAACTATAACTTGATTTCATCAAGTCAGATGTGATAATATTCGCGAGTTCGTTTGCTATCTGGTTTGATGTGAATAATTACTTATTCACACAAGCTTCAAATGACTCTATATTATGAGATCACTCTTACCACATTAGGTATTTAGTAAATATTATATACTCAGTTTTGGTAATGGAAATCATGGTATAAAAATAACAGTTGAATTTACTAAGGTATTGAAATATGTTAGATACACTACTTGTTTAATGGTAGCAGAAAAGTAGGTTTAACTGTTATATTCAAATCTTGTTTGTCTGTATTTAATATCAATATATTACTGCAGCTTTAAAGTTGCATGAAACTGGACAAGCAACTGTTCAGCTGCTGATAATTTTATAAATATAACTTTCCTCTTCAGTGAACAATTGATGAACAATATTGTCCAACTTAATCAAACGAACCAAAATAGCATTTTTAATTATCATTATTATACAAAGAAAACATTTTCTGATGAATTCTAGAGATTCTCGTACTACAGAATTAGTCGTCGGTTGTATAACTTGTAATGGGTGGTAATTCAGTTTAAATATAACAGTAGTTTCATTTATAGAAATTTACTAGTTTGTGAGAAATCAAAAGGATGGAAAAAATTCAATCACAAAGTACTACCAACATTTAAATTTGTGAGATTTCTTTATAAATGCCAGAAAAATTCAAAAGTAGTAATGAGAAAGTGAAAAAAATACAGAAGATGTAAGCAAAGTTAAATATCTGACAGTGATTAACCGAAATTCAGGTATTTTAACTAGTTCGAATAAGCCACTATAAAATAACACATAAATAACCATTATGGAATTGTAAAACGTGTTTTGACTTTCAATTATCGATTTCATCTAGTTACGAAGACGGATTGTCTAATTGATCATACGCCCGCTGTTCAATAAAAGGCGAGTGTGATATTATCTTTTAAACTTATATTGTGCACTGGAAACTTTCGACATTAAGAGTTATAATCACATTCCTATTGGTGCTCAAACAGATGTGACAAGAAACCGAATAATAGAATATCGTTTAATGATTAGCAGATGATATTTTATTATTTTTTATTATTTACTATACCACCCTGACAAAGACATACGCATTATTTGATCGATCATCGATTGTTTCACCAAAATGTTAGAAATAGTTGTAATAAAAAATAATAGAAAATATTGATGGTTTCATGAAAAATTTACTTCATGATTACAAATTTCACTGTTTTTTGTCTACGCAGTAAAGGGTTTGAGAAACTCTAATGAGTATATAATTATGAAGAACGAATATGGAATATGCAAATAGAATTTTGCCATAAATTTTGAATCATTTTGAATTTTCATGACTATCTTATTCGTTATTGTTCCTAAAAGACGAACCGATATAACATGTAAACTATGTAAAGCTTTCTGATCTCATTAGATATTTTGTATACAAAATGACATAAATTAGATTAAGTCTCATTTACTCAAATTTTCTGTCTTTTACAGAACCGCGTCATTACTTGACGCATAGGAGTAGTATATACACTACCCTAAAAAGTTTAAGCAATATCATTTTATTAGTAAGGATTTCCTTATTCTAATTATCGACTTTCTGGATTGCAATTGGTTAGTCTTTGTCAGCGCATGTAGTTCTTGAGCGGACTACCTCAATGTCACAAGGCATTCGGCTGTCTGGGAAGTTTACTAAGTGCTTTCCACCTAATGTGGAATTTTCACTTAGATATATGTTCACTCTACTACTAATGTTCACATCGGTACTGAGTGCCAATATTTTTCACTTCGATTATCAACAGCGGAGAATAAGTTTTATTCCCATTGAACAAGTTAGTGGCTCACTAGATTCAGTAGCTCTGTGGATTAAAAGCATTTGTGTTTAATGCAAAGGTCATGGCATGGAGATCAACAATGAGAGGCAGGTAAGTTCAACTGATTGGCTTCAAATGTAATGAAACGCGTCTAATAAGTTCTGCTGCTATGCACAAGTGCATTTATTTTATTAAAGCAGAACTTGAATTTCCTTGTTTTCTTATTTGTATGACAAATAGACAGGCAGGTTATCCTTTATGTAAAATTTTGTTAATTAAATTATAGCAATTTCAGATAATAACCAACGCACTTGTTTTAAATATTGTGTTTTAAATAGTAAAGTACTTTTTACTTCAATTATACAAATGTTTAATTTGCTACAAATTAACATAGAACCGTTTTAAACCATTCTGTAGTTAGACAAGTATTTTTAGATTTTAGGTGCAAACATTATTTTTATTAAAAAAAATTAATGATGAGCTAACAGCAAAAGTTTTATGTATACAATTCTTATGATAGTAAGTTAATTGTCCCTTCTCTTTTATTTATATCGTATCATTTGTAACAAATTTTTGTTCAAACCAGTAACTGTCTGTCCTATATTTATTGATCTTAATTAATAGTAATTTTAAGGATACTAGTTTGTAGAATAGGAAATGTTTACAAGTACATGATTTATGTTTGTCTATTATACATCCTTCTAGACAATCGTTTAACAATATACTATCGTTCTAACTGATATATTTCGTTTTCCGTTTTCTGCTTTCAGACTTGTTTTGTTTCTTATGTTATCCATTAGAAATATCTGCTTTCATAAGAAAAAGTTCCTTGACATGTTGAAATTAAATTGCCTCTTCAGAAACCTTTTCAGTTTTTTGTGTCAAAATTTGGCTAATTAACGCAAGCATATATTAAATAAAGATTGATTTTCTAAAAATACAAATATACTATGTATACCATTCGTTTAACTCAGTTTACAGTTTTGTCAAAATTCATAATCAGTTTTTAATCTTTAGAACCAAACTACTTTTGCAAAGGGAAGTCTTTCATTTGACTGGAGATCACTTTCATACTAGATGACGTACATGACTGCAAATAGTATTTTACATGACTCAAACTAGCTTCTAGATTGTTTAGGTGTACAATCATTAATCAGACAAGAAGAGAGAGCTGATGAAAAACAAATTTAACACAGATTAGCTGCATAGATATCTATTTTGATGACACTATGTAACATTTGCATTCAAATTTACATACTTATCAGTTTTATACGAGAATAATTTTCTTAGTTATAGATTATCAATCAGGTTGGAAATATCCACTGCTAACATCAAACAGAAATAATACAGTTAAACTGAAAAATATTCTTAGATATAATTTCGATTAAAGCTGGGAGAGAACTAGTTTTCTTGAAAATAAATGGTTTTACTCTCATGATGCTGTGTGGTTTAGGAGTAAGTTGGAAGAAAGCTAGGGGCGGTCAAACCGAGACACGACACAAATAGATGAAGTCACTAACAAGTGGACTAAGGTGCATCTATTCTTTTCGTTCTTTCAAATTCTAATATTCTTAATTCCTCATCAACTCTGTCTATCTCCTTCTAAAGTTATCATATTGAATTATGTTTCCCGAATCATATCTTTGAACGCTAATCTGCACCATTACTGCTAATACTTCTACTATCTCTACGACTATTGGATTTGAACTGGCAGTTGCGTCTCTGCGCAAATGCGGTATGGCAACCTGAATTTACGTACTCATGTAAGAAGTTCCATATTGTAACTAACTGACTAACTGAAAGAATTAAAGATGTTGAGTCCTTGCGGAGTGTTTTTGTTAAGATCTAATTTAACCCTTCAATAAATTGTATGCTTAGTATATTGCAATATCCTGATTACTACAAGAATAAATCAATTATCCAAAATTAGTGGAAATCTCTCGGAGCCATGGAACGAACTCAACATTTCTGAGAAACGTTGAAACGAAGAGATTTGATCAAAACAAACGGAATCGTATCCCAAACAATTTTTGCAATGCTCAACGTGATACTGTTTCAAGTAATTTAAAATATTTTCTTCAACAAATATACATTAAAATAAATATATTTTATAATGGTTACTTTACTAACGTCATCAATACTTTAGTTCTTCTGTTTGCATATTGGACTTTAAATATTACAGAATAGAAAAGAACAAACATTAACAGAAGTAACACAACATTAAACTCTACTGGATTGCAAAAAAAAAACAAAACATAAACATATAGAAAATTCTGAATATCTGAAGTGAATAGGAGAAATAAATGCTTTCAAAAAAACAACCCAAGTTAGTCATGGAAGGGAATAGAAAAAGTTTAAAATCTAGAAAACAAGAGAAAGTTTACTTCGTAAAACTTCATAGAAATCCGATTAAAGAGGAGTAATGAATTTGTTTCACTAGGTTTTCTAAATTAATAATTGGTAAATACTGTGTGCAACTTATTAAGATGGAAAATACGAAGTAAATATACATTTATTCAATTAGACAAATATATTTAATGCTTAGAAATAAATTAATTTGAATCTAGAATCTAGAAATTGTTAATGCATTTATATACTGTTTGGTAATAGTGTTTTTAACAAATTAATTGAATGATTTTGATCAGTTGGTATGAGTTATTCGTGACAACTGAATAGAAAAAAGTACTCATAGACTTGTTTTCACACGTCTTCTACTATTATATGTATGTTAATTATTTAAATGTTTAACCAAAATTGATTCAGAAAAATACAAAAATCTATGGTATGCAGATTCATATACATTTATACATTTTCGTTATATTTTATGGAGTGAATTAAATTGAATATGTTTGTAAAATGAGCTATGAAGATCTGTTATGGTCTAAAACACCTATATGTTTATAATGAATCTGGTAATTTGTTAGACTGAAAACCAATGAATGTATACATAAATATATGCACAGGATAATTGATTATATATGTTAATGTTTACTAGAATCTACATTTGAAATTTCACTTGAGGATGGCCTTTGAGTACTATCTGTATTACTGCTGATAATATTATTATTATTATCAGTATCTTCAGTATTACTATAGTTAGTAATACTGATAGTAGTGCATTTGGGACTCAAATCACTGGATTGCAAATTCGTTACATTTGTCACTGAACTATTCAATGAATTTAAAATGTTTTCTGGTGGCTGTGAATCTGATTTGCCATTTTTATTGGTTTTGCGTTCACTGCAACTATCTTGTAAAATTTTAGATTTTGATAAATTCAGTAAATTTTGTGATGGATGTGTTAAAAAATTTGATGAACTACGTTTTTGCCGCATAAATTTAGGCAATTTCAATTTATCTACTGATGTGATTTCAATAAATGAAGATTTACGTTCATTATCTAGTGATGTTTCATCTTCCTCATTTGCTTGACTTAATTTCGTTACAGTATTATCAAATAGTTTATTACGATTAGTTGATTTACGTTTGCGAAATTTTAATAATTGTTTTATATTTAAATGAGCTTGGTTTTCTTCATTTTCTGTTTCAGGTCCACTGGAACTATCTTCTGGTGTAACAGCTGAGCTGACAATTTCTTTAACTAAACTTAAATCTTCTTTCAAATCTTCACGATTACTAACAATAGATGGATTTTGGCCAATTTTATTTAATCGTTCAGCTGCTACTGATTCCATTGTACGTCGCATTAGTGGATAATTTTCCAATACTGATAGAAAACTTTCTCGATCCAGTGAATACAGATTGGAATAGACTACAGCTTTAACACTGGCTGTACGACGTGTATTAGTTAATAACGTAATTTCTAAAGTAAATATACAGAAAAATAATCAACTGGAATGTGTACAGATTAAACATTTATTAATTTAATAAAAGCAAGAACTGAGTTAACTTCTGAAAAACAAACGAAGCATTTTAGGCATACACAGATATGTTTGTTATTTTATAAGGTGGATTTCAGAATATGTGTAACTTGACTCACATTGAATATAGTGTAGCTAGTTGATACTAATCTGTAAAATATTATTCTATCAAGTATTTCATCTTTTGTTTTATTTCCACACAATTATTTATTTAAATTTGAAAATTGTAAAATTTTAATATCACATCAACCAATGTTATCGTTTTAATAGTTCAGTGAACATTTCACTCTTAATAGTGAGAATTAGTGACGTTTAGTTGCGTCATTTTTCAATCTATTTATCATTTTTAGCATCCTTTCTCTCATACAACTTTCAAAGTGGTCGATGAGTTCTAACCAAATGATTAATTATTAATTGTGTTGGATTGCGGTAATGAGAAATCATACACGTTCTGAAAAGTGCAAGACCAATTCATCAGTTATTCATAGAAGCCTAAATAGTTGAAATAATTTAAACTTGCTCAACTTGTTTATTTGTTTCGTAAGCCCCCTTATGAGTACAGAAACAGTTTGTTATAACCTTGAATTTACCCTGGTAATCTTTAGGCAATTTTATGGCCAAAGGTATTGTGACAATTTCTTTCTAAATTACGTTAATTTTCTCTCGCCTTTATTCTCAATTATCACCTTATGTTTACTTAAACCTTTATTTAATTGACCTTTTATCAATTTCATATAAAATACCTTGACAAGTAAATATGTGTGACCAGATTGTTTGAAATGTACACCGCAAACATATCAGATCAGTTACGTCTCATTGTTCAATCAATATTCTAATTAAATGAATTTTTTTCCACAGTTGGATAGACTTCGAGAAAAAATACGATAATTTTTATAAGTATATTTTATAAACAATTGTGATTTCAGATAGGCTAACACAAATGACTAATCCTTTAAATCAAGTTGTTCAAAAATGTAGTCTTTTGCGTAACTGCGAACCTTTTACCGACTTCAGTTTGATAAATTGGTAATAATAAGATTTATCTACTATTAAATTTTCGCAAATGAAAGTTAATTCTCTCTGATTCATTGTATCTCTAAATTTGCATACGTCAAAGATAGTTTTATTTTTGTTTATGTATGTAATACAGCGTGAATAATTTGAATCTGGTTCGGTAGTCCATAAACTACTGTGTGATTCAATCAATATTACTAAGATTTCTCTTTTGAATATCTATCTGCTTGTTTTATAACCCAGACTTGTATTATTATTTCAAATAATAATTTCTCAGTTTCAGTATATTTTAAGTCTATAACGAATACAAAGAGTGAAACTAAATATTGTATTTAGGTGTTTACTATGACTAACTTTTTTGATAAATAAAATTAATAACATTTGAAAAATAACAACTTAAATTAGTCGAACAAGCATTTTATATTTTATCAGTAAAAATACTTATATTTGATGACTGTAAAAGCGTGCAACCAACAAATAATAAGCATAACAATAAATATTGTAATAAAAATTAATGCTAACTGATTGGCTAAATATTCAGATAGAATTGTGTGTTGATCATATTGTTTAGAAGAACAATGAAAGCTTCATAATCAAAACATCCAGCTCGGAAGACGAAACACCACCACAACCATCTACCTGAGCTACAAATTTTCTCCACCATCTCAGAGTATTCATTCCTTATACATAAAACATAAATTCACAAGAGCTTTTATGTATCAGTACCAAGATTGAACTTGATAGTTTCAAATAAATTGAACCTTGGATAATTTTTTGGTGATATTACAATGAGTAGAAATTTGTATTTCTGATGTTTTTTGACTTAATGAAATCCATTTTCAAAATTTGTTCGGCTATTGTAATTCAAATCAGATCTGATTTTTTATTATTACTATTAATATTGTTATTATAGAGGGGTTAGTAGTATTTGTAGTAAAAGACATTTAAACTCAACTGGAAAGGTACTTCAATAGTATAATGAACATATTTCAAACATTAAAACTTATATTGACTTAAAATTTACAATTCACACTGATTTCTTATTTCTTATTTTGGATATATTGAAAAACAAATATCATTATAGCAAAACTTTAGCTTCATAAAAGAATTTACCTCCAAAATATGATCCATCTGAAAGACTTGTTGCAACTTCACCATCTTTAGTTATGATATCGACAATACCTTCTTGTATAAAATACATTTTATTTCCAATTGTTCCTTCTTTAATAATTAAATCACCAGGTTGAAATACTTCAAATTTCAATTTGGTTACAACTTCAGAAACAAAATCTTGATCAGCATATGTAAAAAATGGAACAGCTGCAACTAAGGCACGACAATTGTAATTGATAACTTGCTTTAAATAGATAAAACAAGTACAAAGAATACTAAGTAGAAATTGATAAGATCAAGTAAAAACAAATCGATTGACTACTTGTTTGGTAAAATATACTGTGTTTTGGTCAGGCCACAACATTCATACATTTTTTGTATTGAGAATAAATAAAGTCACAGTGCAGAGTTGATATATCCGCAGAAAGATCATTTATAAGATCGAAATATGCCTCACATTGATAATTAAAAAAAAATTGTCAGCCAACTTGAAATAAAAGTAAAATTGAACAATGAACTTACGGATCTCATATTCTGTAAAGCAGAATAAAATAACTCCTTTTTATAAACCTCCATGCTCTAACAACTACTTCTGGATTATAAGATTTACTTTTTACTAAAGTAAAGCTTCATTTATTAGACTATGACATTAACGATCAAGGTCAAATAACTTTTAGGAAATTACAATGTTAAATACAATAAGATAATAACGGTATTCGAAAATGTTCTCTGTTTTCACATAGATGGAGTTCCCCCTAGTAGTTAACAACTTGACATCCATCAACTTTAGTGACTTTTGTTCACATGATTCTCAATTTATTGTTGTAGTAAAAAAAGTAAACGCTTTGCTCTAATGACTACCAATCAAGAGCGTGATTGTAATATATGCTACACTGAGCAAATGTAGTCAACTAATGAAAGGTTTTCAGTAGAATGTAATAGGTACGAACATACAAGCCTAAAGATCTCTATACTCTCATAATCATTACGCATCGAACTAGTTTAAATGTTTTTTCAATGATAAAAAGTCCATATATTTTCTGTTTATATAAGTATTTAAAAAGTCTTGAATATTCGATTTTTTTTAATTCTATGTAGTATTGTGTAGTGTTAAAAAACAACAGATTGCGTTTTCCACCTGTTTATTCATTGAATAATGAATGAAACCAATAGACCTTAAGGAATTAATCAAGTAGAAAACCTGTAAGTCTAGTAAGAGACATGAAAACGTGAAAAAGGAATTTTTCGAAATTTAATAAAATTGACATATTTTCATAGTTGGTTATAACGTAGTTTATTAGGTGGTTAGTACTGAACAATGAATAGCGCTAAGGGAATCGCTTGAGTATGTTATCTTGTGAAGCCATGTTAACATCTAATGGAGAAAAGTTTACCCTAATAACTTATTGTTTAGAGTTTATACTTAATTCTTTAAGGATTCATTTGTAAGTGAATTAAAATGTTTTGTTGATTCGGATGAAAGAGAACCTGGAACAAGTACTCCAAAAAATTACCAGGATAGGATTTCAAGTATATTATGAATCAGCATAACCCAAGACATAACGACTGTCTTCACAATCAGGAATTTATTTAAAATAGTTAGAGCGTGCAAATCAATACATAAATGAGTGTCATAGTCATATGTCCTTACTTTGCGTTGTGAGAATTGTAGGCATTCTTCGTTTTGAAGTCTAATTTAAAAGCGCCGCTGGTATAATGATTTAGTTAACAAACAGCTAATTTTCAGTTTTACAGTGCTTTAACACTAGCTTTGTCAAAAATACCTTTTCGAATTTATTACCAAGCAAAAAGAGATAAAAACCAATTGATTTTTAGTTGAGAATATCAAATCAGAAATACTAAATAGGAAAAGGAACTTTTTTGTAAATTCTCGCTTGTTATTTAAACTTTGTGATTTAAATAACATCAGAATAGGTTATTTGAAAAATTTTACCAGAATCGTTTAAAAGCATTGTGTTAACGGACTCATGTTTTTAGAGATCGACTGAATATTTCAACAGCTAACAAAAATATCAGCTTTCATGCTTATCTCAGATTGCATATAATTCATTTCAGCATGAACAAATTTATTTTACAATCTTAACTTCACACACTTTCTAATAATGGACAATTTTACGGCTTAATTATTTTTATTTTTCAAAAAAATACATAACTGTAGAAACTGAAGAGTATTTTTTTGAAAAGAAAATTATTCAATTAAGTATTTTTGTTTTCAATATGATGGGAATTTGTCAACAGTTTAATGCTAATCTTCAAAGACTACTTAATGCATCCGAAGTGATTATTGTAATGAAATGAATCTTTTATTATTATTATTATTATAAATATTTTTTCTATAATAAATACATGGATTACAACATTCAGTAGATAAGAGCGGTCAAATAGAATTCCTTGGGAAACAGCAAACAACCTTATCTTTTTTTTAATTGTCTTGCATTAGTATTGTTGGATATATATAGTTCATCCGTAAGTTTGATTTAAAAAAAAAACTAACTATAATTAATAATAATATTATCATCAGAGTAATTCAAAGTAAAACACGAATGGGAACAGAAAGTAATAAGGTTGAACAAGAAAAAAGAAACAACTTATTATGTTTCTACATCTTATGTGTGCTTTATTTCACATTATTTGTTCATTTTCATCGAAGCGACAATATAATCCTGCAGAGAATTGATTTTCATTTATTATTATTTCTAGTTCATAAGTGAATTTCCTCTCTTTGCGTTGTTAGTGTTGTTTTGAAAAAACAAAAAAAAACAACAAAAAGTTGACATTATGAACTAAGTTTTTGTTTTGTCCGATGCGAATGCGCGCATGTACTCGCACATACGCAAGCACAACCATTCACTCGCATTGGAACACATATGGTTACTGCGTTTCAACGATAATAATTAAAAGTAATTTGTTGTTTATTATATGAGATTGCTGTTATTTTTTATTATTAGAAAATTTTCTCATCCTATCTCAACGACGTGAACATTACATTTTCACCATGAATGAAAGAAAAAATAGTTTAAGGTGAAATTTTTCTTTTGTTCATTTTTATTCATTATAAATCATATTGATATTTAATAGACTTTTTATTCTTTATGGAACTATTCTGTTATTGTCTCTATTTTGTACAGTTCTCACAAGATATTTTTTATGCAATTGTTTATCTGAATTTTAATTTAATATGTAATTGTATATTTATGTTTTCTATTAGGACTCGAAAAGTTTAAGAAAAATGTTAATCGTTTAGAGAGCAAAAAAATAACATTAATTATTAAAGAGAGGAATATGATAATATGCTTCTTTTTGTCACATGTTAGTTTACAAAAAATAGTTTTCATTTACGTTGTTTAATTCATCAACAGTTCAGTTACCGATTATTTATGAAAAAAACATAACATCTATATGATTCACGATTAAATGACCATATTAGAGCCTTAAAGTGTTGAATTAATTATCTTCAAGTTACGTAAGCCTTAGAAAACAGCATGAACAAGAATAGACATTATTGGTGGTGTACGTTTCAGTGATTGCTGTATGTTGTGTGATTTTTATAGACAATATAATTAGTTTTCAACTCAGTGTACTTCAGCTTGAAATCGATAACACTAGGGTTTTCACCTTATACGCATTATAGATTTGAATGAAATTGTGTTTATTCTCGTAGTTAGTGGAGAACTACTTTTTTCTACTCAGATACGATGAGCATCGACTGTATGGAGAACAATATATTCGCATTATCGTGCACTTGTAAACTGAAATAGATAACACCGATAGGCTTCATTATATGACATTCGTTGGGTCAGCGAGCGTTTCAGTCTATGTATTGTACAATAATGTGTATCTGAAAATGAGATAAACAGGCTTTCGTCACTTGATTTTGATAAATATATATTTTTAATATCTACGTGAAAAGCAAAGTCTTTAATGATTATACTGTTTAAGACTACAAGTAACTTTAAAGTTGAGTAGAATTTCAAATCTATTATATATTATTACTGGCATCAAGTTATAGAGGATATAATGCCCAAATTGGGTAAAATATTTAGTAACTCAATCTTCGAAGCAAGCAGTTAACATGTGAATACAATAAGGATGGAAGATGCTTTATCTCAATATAAGACGATTTGTCATGATAAGCAAAAACTATATTTAAATGCATTTATTAATAACGGAAAACTACGCCAGTAGAACCTTAGGGGCTACTGCCGGTCCCAAGCCCGGATAAAGGAGGAGGGTTGGACATGGGGTTGGCGACCCTATTCCGTTGAAATCTCACTTGCCAAAAAAACGCTAAACAGAAAAAATAATTCAAACCATTTTAACTCTGCCCTGGGAGTTGGAAGAAGAATTATGACGTCTCGTGATGAAAGCCGAGTTCCCTCGGAAGTCACGGGGCTGATGCCTCTTCTGACAACCAGAGCAACCATTTTTTTAGGCACATGGAACGTTCGTACATTGTGGGAGACTGGAAGACTATTTCAAGTTGCGGCAGAAATGAAACGATACAACCTCGAGGTTCTTGGAATCAGTGAAACGCATTGGACACAAGTAGGACAACTGAGACTAGCTTCAGGGGAACTGCTGTTATACTCTGGTCATGAAGAGGAAAACGCTTCACATACACAAGGAGTTGCACTGATGCTGTCCAAACATGCACAAAAGGCACTGATAGGATGGGAATCTCATGGGCCGAGGATCATTAAAGCATCCTTCAAAACAAAGAAAGAGGACATTACAATGAACGTCATCCAATGTTATGCACCTACCAACGACTACAATGACGACGATAAAGATCAATTCTACGAAAGGCTGCAGTCAATCGTCGAGAAATGTTCACCAAAGGATTTGACGATTCTTATGGGAGACCTGAATGCCAAGGTTGGAATGGACAACACTGGATATGAAGACATCATGGGACGACATGGACTGGGAGAAAGAAACGAAAACGGTGAGAGATTTGCAAACCTATGTGCCTTCAACAAACTGGTCATCGGTGGCACAATATTCCCGCACAAACGCATTCACAAAGCCACATGGATTTCACCGGACCACACTACTCAAAACCAAATTGACCATATCTGTATCAACAAAAAGTTCAGAAGGACCATGGAGGATGTGAGAACCAAGAGAGGAGCTGATATAGCTTCAGATCACCACTTGCTGATCGCCAAAATGAGATTGAAGCTAAAGAAGCACTGGACAACGGGGCAGACAACGTCACAGAAG